TCTTGGATGCATCTACATGTGTAAAGGAAGAATAATAATGCTGAAACAATAAAGAAAAAGAACACAGGAAAGGGAAAATGAATAGGAGAGATTACAACAATGCAGCAGAGTAATAATACAAAATGTAACAACAACAAGAGAAAATAGTCCCACACACAAAACCATGTTTACAGTACCAATCATCAGTACGACTCCAGAGAAAAAAGAGAATGCACACAACCCACTGTACTGCGGAGGACCCCCAACCTGAAATCAAAGAAGCAAAAAAAAATTAAAAAAACAGAACCAGCTGCCACAGCACATACAGTACTACAAAAGTACATCCTTCCATAGTCACGTATAGGAAATTATCAATATGTATATGTATGTATAATTGTTTTTACTTTCTCTCTGCACAAAACAATCCAAACAAACGCAAATCAAACAAAAAGAAATTAACAAATAGACCATGTTCTACAGTAAACGGCCAAATACAACTACTATCAGTTTAAAACGTTATACACTCAATAATATACGTATAAAAGTGTATCTCTTATAAATATTTTTTCTCTCACTGCAGAAGGCAAGCTGTCATTGGTGGAAAGAAAAGCACACAGTGGTCCAAAACCACACACAAAGGAGTAGCAATAATAATAATATAATCACAAAACAAACAAAAAACATTAAGAAACAAAAAAGATAATTACCAACAGGTGGAAGATTAGTTAGACTGTAGGGATGTATGCAAGAAAAGAAAAAAAGAAAACAAAAGATGACCTGAGTCACACCACCACACCAATAATTAGCACACAAGAATACAGGCCAGTGTAACCACAATCAGTAGTGGTACACGCACCCACACAGAACTGCAGATACTGCTGCTGCTGTCTGCATCACCCTTCTTGTTTGTGAGTTCAGGTGGAAGTGTTGTTGTTGTTGTTGTTGTTGTGGTGGTGGTGGTGGTGGTGGTTGTTTCTGTATTTCCCACATCAGTGCTTTGGGTGCTTGTTGACTCAGTTCCAGCAGATGTACTGCCATTCTCAGTAGGTGAAGTGTCAGAGCTACCAACACTCTCTGTGACTGTAGTGTTGGAAGAAGAAGGGTGTTGTGATGCACCGTCAGCATTTGTTGCACTTCCACCTGCTGCACTGTTATCGGTGCTTTCAGCTTGACCTTCTACTGCAGTCTGGCCACCAGTTTCCTCACGAGGTGGAGAAGCAGCGAGATCAGTTTCGCCTTGATCAGGTTTCTTAGCATGACTTGCTTCCGGAACAGAACTGGGTGAAACAGCAGTAGCAGTCGCAGGAAGAGCAACACCAGTACCTTCAGCACCAGGACCACCAACGGCATTATCAGCTCCTGTACGTGGTCCAGCAGCACCAACAGCATCAACAGGACCAGTAGGACCGCGATCGCCTTCGGGAGTTTTTTCCTTTGGTGTAGTTGGAGCTGGTTCCTTTGGTGTAGTTGGAGCTGGTTCTTTTGGTCGACAAGGAGGTTTAGTATCTTTACGGCAATTTTCTTCACTACCACCATCGACGGTAGGGCAATTCTCCTCTTCAGAAGGGTCCGCACACTCAGGAAGATCTTGTTCACTTACGTCAGGTTTATTCTCACACTTGCAACCCTTCTTGCCTGTATCACTACAAGCAGCACCATCATCAGATACACTCGGGGTATCAGAACACGTACTTTCCTCATCTCCAGACGCCAGACACACGCAGGCAACACTCAAAAACAGGGCCGTAAGGTACAGTAGTCGTCGCAGCAACATCATGCAAAAAAAGTTACTTGAATAGTTTAATGTAACCAAAACTCAGAAAAAAAAAGAAAACCAAATAAAGAATAAATTATATACATACAAAAACAGAAGGAAAAACACAGAAAAAGAAAACAAAAAAAATTTAGCAAAATCACAAGACAAAGCAACGCGCACAAACATTAAAGATCCCAACAAAGAACTCAAAGCCCTGCACGGAAAAAAAATCAATCCCAATTAATCCCTCAAAACCAAAAAAGAAGTGAGAGAACGACCATCAGAAGCACAAAGCACAAAAATACAAAACATTTTCAATTTCCGGTCGAACCACGTACACAATTATGAATATATGTGTATTCCTTATTATTGTTTTTCCTCATAAAACAATCCAACAGCAAACCGAAGGACAAAGCACACAGTGCCCAGATAAAGAAAAAGAAACACAAAAACTGAGAAAAGCACCAATCGCACAACAATATCACAGAACTCTAGACATGCAGGTGTGTGTATGCAATTAACAATACATATATATCAATTAATACTTTTTCTTTTCTCTGCACAAAACAAAAAAGGGAACCACACGCAAACAAAAAGATATTAACCATTAGCCCAATTTACCCAATGAAAACACAGAAATACACCACCTATGGGTGTAACTCTATATGTGTATATACGCAATTATAAATATAAATTCATCTGTTATTATTATTTCCTTTTCCTCTCACTACAAAAAGCAGTTCATTATCATTAGAGTGCAAGCCCAAGCACACACACAGAGAGTCTCCAAGAACACACACACAGACAATGGAGTAGCAATAATTATTATTATAGGATAAACACAAAGAGAGCAAAAAACACACAAAACACATTAACATTAAGAAACAAAAAAAGAAGAATAGCCCAACAGGTGGAAGATTAGTTAGACTGTAGGGATGCATCCAAAAAAGAAAAAGAAAACAAAGGATGACCTGAGTCACACCACACCACACCACAATCAGCACACAAGAATACAGGCCAGTGTAACCACAATCAGTAGTGGTACACGCACCCACACAGAACTGCAGATACTGCTGCTGCTGTCGGCATCACCCTTCTTGTTGTTTGTGAGTTCAGGAGGAAGTGTTGTTGTTGTTGTTGTGGTTGTAGTGGTATCTGTGTCTGCATTTCCCGCACCTTCTTGGGTACTTGTTGATTCAGTTCCAGCAGATGAAGTGCCATTCTCAGGTGTTGCAGCATCAGAACCAACATCACTCACTGTGGCCGAATTGTTGGAAGAAGAAGAAGGTTGTGCTGTTTCACTTCCCTGTTTAGATCCACTGTCTTCTTCGGTTGTACTGGCCACATTGCTTTCAGTTTGACCGTCAGCGGCAGGAGCACCGCTACTCCCCTCAGCGGGAGAAGAAGCACCACCTTGTGAACCGTTTCCACTTTGAGTATACGGAGTTTCTGGTTCACCAGGAGGAACAACAGGAACAGTTGGTTTAGCACGATCCTCTTGTCCTCCATCAATATGAGAACCCTGGTCAGTTGCAGGACGACTTTGACCATCGTGACCATCATGACCTTGACGACCGCTACCATTACTTCGTCGATCTTCATTTTGTTTAGCATGAGTCGCGTCTTGTGCTTCGTTTTTACAACTAGACCCACCAGAAGCGCAATTATCTTGATTGTCGAGATCCGTCTTACGGCAACCATCCTTCTCAGGAGGAGAGTCCACACAATCAACAGCAGTAGCAGCTTCAGATACACTTCCACTACGAGTACACGGAGGATCAGTCCTGTCTGGAGTACAAGCGTTAACATCAGCAGGTGGTGGTGGTGGTGGTGGAGGAGGATGAGGACCAGAAGCAGCACCAGCAGCAGCACAACTACCACTACCATCACCACCTTCTCGGCAAGTGTTACTAGCCTCAAGTCCAGGTTGAGTCGCTGCAGCTGCCATACAGAGACACTCAACACACAAAAACAAAGCGAGAAAAAACAACAAACGGCGCACCATCATTGTTATAATAATTAGAAATACTCTCTGAGTTCACTTTTCTGTAGAAATAAGAAGTGCAAGAAAGAGTCAAAAAATAAACTCACAAGAATTAAAGAAAAGATAATCAATGACAAATCCAGAAAAATCACCTAGATGAAATCCAATCAAAGGAAAATAACAAATACTACCCAGAACTAAGATGAAACTCCCAATCAATAAAGGAGAAAAAAAAGAATCCCAGAGCACAATAAGAAGAACCAGAAAACACACAAAAACGTTTCTATGGATAAGCTTGGCAACTCGTACGCACTCATGATCAAAGAAGTATCTGTTACTCTCTTACCTTACTCGGCACAAAGCATATCAAGAAGATAATGCTCGGCAAAGCACGCAAAGCACCAGCAAACCACACAAGCAAACAAATAGTTATTAACAAT